AATAAGTAAACATTTTACACTTTATGTAAGTAAACAAGCTAATAAAACATTTAGAATAACCCATGTACATAGTTTATAATGGTAGATGAGTAAATAGGTTGTTGTCTTTAGACTTTATATATATATGTACATACATTCGATGATAACACACTATTCTGTCTGTTCTTATTTTCACTGGTAAGTAAAACAGAGAGAAACATGAGTTTTTCAATTCTATGAAAAAAATTGTTTTATGACTTTGTATAAATTCGGTAAATTTCTCAATAATATTTCACAAATAATTAAAGAGGTTTTGTGAAGATTATAGTAATTTAATAATTGAATTCATAAGTCAATTGAAACTAGACAATTATCGAAAATTTGGAAGTACTGGACGGAAGTTTTGTTCGATTTTGGGACTCCTAAGCAATACGTATCCACGATCCGGCCTCGTGAGATTCTAACCCAGGACCTATCGGTCTCGTGTGCAAACATTTAACCTATAGACCACTGAGTCGACTGGCATCTATCGGTGTTAATGTCTAAATTCAACTCATCCATAAAATTGAGCGACAAAACGACCATTGTCTTCAGTGATTTACTATTTCACAACAGGCCCTGCTGAACTCCACAAATAATTAAAATTGAGCGAAATATTTACTAGTAAGCCGTAGTGTTATTTAAAAAACGGGTAGATTTGCTTATGTAAACCGGCTTGCTTAGTTGAGATCAAAGTTATATGGGGCGAGGTAGTAGTAGTGTAGTAAACAGAACACAGGCAGGAACAATCGAATGTATTTAACATACAGTTACAGGACTTGTTGATGAAATTTAACAATCATAAAGTAAATGCTTAATTTGCAAAATGTCCACCAATTGACTCAAAATGACTCAGACTTCATTGTTCCTGCATTTTCACACAAATTACATTCTATTTCCATTGTTTACTGTTCGATCCTTTTGTCTCTCTGCTGCCAGACATTATGTTCACGACTAACATCATCTACTACTTATGTCAATATAAGTAGCACACAGCACAGTAGTAGTAGTAGTAATGAATGAATAGTAGTTTATTGAACGAGAAAACAGGCGGGGCAACCAAATAAATTTGAATACAAAATTACAGAATTTCTTAGTAAAATATGAGAACCATACAGTAAATTCTTCATTTGCGAAATGTCACTCAATCATTCCTTCATTTTCATACCAATCACTCACTGTTCACGTTCTATTCTCTTCGACCTTTTTAATGTTCTACTTACAGGTATTCCACTTCCGATCGATGATACATACTATTTGTATCTGTCGTTATCAGTGGTACACATCACATAAAGAGTAGAGATTTATTATCCTCAACAAAAATCAGTGTAGCATGGTTATTAGTAGATTAGGCTTCATGTTATTCATTGGTAATATCTGTTTAGATCAACAAAAGAGAATGCAAATTATTTAAAGTCACTAAACATTGATTAAAAAGTTACAAAGAGAGTTGTAGACTAATTAGTTATACATTAGAGAATGTTATACATTGGTGTTTAGACAACTTTAATCGTGTGAAAACTTTTACATTTACACTACTAGACTTATGGTACTAATACACAGTTAGATTCCTAGTTAATTAGCTTTTTTTCATTCCATTACTAATGTTAAATATATATATCACCTGAAATCATGGCTAAGATTCATATTGTAGATGAATGTTTTAGGTGTTGTGGAGTTTTCTGAGCTAAACAGTTTAAAGCTTTTATTATTGTTCTGAACAATAATAAGAGATGACTAGTTCATGTCAAAATAAGCCTCATAGTTATACTTCAAGAAGTTAATAATGAGACTATAATTTATGGACGACCATTGAACGACGTCAAAATGACCATGTGAGTATCCACCTAATAACTAAGACCAAATGAGGGTTATAAACCAGTGTAAGGAGTTAGAATTATGATTTACGTTTGATGGAGTTAAGGTTTGGAATTAGATAAAGGGTTTTTCATCACTAAGTGACATTAGCTATAATGCCAAAACTCTATTTAGCCAACTGGATGAGTGAATTTCGCGCCAAAATCCAAAACCTGTTATCTTAAACCTGATTAGTTCGTCCATAAATTATAGTCCCTCCGAGTTAATTCAGTTCAATCTAGTTTTCTCATTTCTCAGGGGAATACTCTCAATATCACATTTAAAAATTTCTTTCTTAACTAAATTGCTCAAGTTATAAATTGCTGTTTACCTGCTTATCTTATATTGTTACTGTTAAAGATTAAATCAGAATAAAATTCATGTTAGATAGATGGTTTGAAGTGGACTTTTCAAATTAGTCGTTTAGGTATGAGCTTTCTAAATGATACTTTATATCAATTGGAATAGTTTGTATCTACAATTTGGTTAATTTTAAAAGTTGAGACCATAAATAAGTTGAAGCTAGACAATCATGGAAAACCTGGCAGCACTAGATGGCCGTTTCGTCCTAGCGCAAGTCTCCTCAGCAGTGCGCATCCACGATCCTGCCTCGTAAGATTCAAACCCAGGACCTATAGTTCTCGCGTGCGAACACTTATCCTGGTTGATCTCAACCATTAAAATTACTATAACAATTACAAAAACCTTTCTGATATGAATTTGGTTAATCATTAATAGCGAAACTATTTGATAAAAACATGGTGATGAATTCTATTCTTAATAAGAAGATTAACCATGAAAATGTGGATCTATCCAGTTAAAGTTTTAGATTTATGATGAAACACGTTTAGTATATTTCATCAAATAATTGAATTATTTCCTTTTTGTTTTCAATCTATTTATCAAGTTTAATTTGTATACAGATGAAGTGTGTTGTTTGAATGAACTAATGATTCCTTTGTACTTGTTGAATGCTTGATTTCAAATTCTAAATACAGTACATTCGTTTGTGGTTATCTAGTACTTCTTGATCCGACTACGTTATTTCTGGGCTTCTTAATTGATCAGTCGATGTGAAGACGGAGGTTGATTATGAATACAGTGGTCTTGAGTGCTGTTAGAGGTATGAAGGCGGTTATCACTTCCCGGTTGCCCACACCGTGGAAGGATTCTTCTGGAGGTACTTGAAAAGGAAATTGGATTAAAGGTGGTTTTAGTGACCTGAGAGCGTGACCACAGTGCCCAAGGGAAAACTGCTTGAGGTCGGTTACACGCGACCTTTTTATGGTTAATTTTTGTGTTAGCTCCATACTTGTTGAGACCTTACCGCCGGAGACGGAAATCCGTGGGATAAGGTGAGGTGTGCATTTTTAGTGTCGACCTTTTCTAACCCCTACCCTCCTTGTGGGAAATCAGCATCGCTGTCATGCTGGTTGTCTTAAGGAAATACCTTACTACTGTCACACCTTTGTACAGTCAGCAGTACGACTTCGCCTTCGGACCTTGGGTTTGTTGCTTTTAGTCTTACCGCTCTTCAACCGACCTGTCTGACATAGTAGGACCTTGAGGAATGGTTGTTCCAGCCAGTATAACTCAGTTGCTTCATCACGATAGGTAAGCCAGACCACCACGTCGAGGTAGTAACAACGGTTTGAATTCTTAGTTCATACTATAATTCAAATACTCGTGATTATTATATGAAGCTATAGTAATTCATCAATTTAAACCTTATTACTGTATACAAAGGGAACTGTATAATCCCCTTTTTTTCTCTTCACATTCTCATAGAACACTTGATACACACAGCTTTACATACTCTTGAAGTACACATAGAATACATTCCAGTTAGAAGTGAATCTTTACCATTTCCAATTGTTCTTTTATTCTTAACATGTTTTTTGTTTTTATATTCATCAAATGGAGAATTGTTAAGTGACATATTACCATACTCTATTTTATAATAGACTATTAAATGTAAAATTAATTATTAATATAGTTGTATTGGTTACGTAGATAACATTATCAAAAATGGAAAAGAATAAGATCAAATAACCTATTACATAGAGAATTGGAAACAGACATCAAAAGAATAAATATCGATAGGGAAAAAAAGCCCAACTGTAAACGATTACATCAGACAGAGTTTGATGGAGAATATTATTGGACGACTTATATCCTTTCAAGAGGGGTAACAACCGTAAGTAATATATATATACATATATCATTTAATCAACTCTAACATTAAACATGATTATGAAATGAATACAAAAATTGTTCCATATTATCCAATTAATGATATCGATTGGGTGGAAATTTGACAGGATAATCGATTTCAATTTAACTCATTCTGTTTGTACTCATAATACGTTAATTGAATTGATTAAGTCAGATTGTAAATGAATAAATAGTAACTATTTTCTTATTCTTTTCTTTTTAATTACAGCAAATATTTAATAACTCATTAAATAGATTCTTTATTATGCTCATGAATTAATGAAGTTGAAGTAAATGCATGATATTAATGATTTAAGATTAGATTTGTACAAGTTAATTAAATGATTATAGTCCAAAATATTCATTATATGTTACTTAATTAGTTAGTTACTCCTGTTGCTCCTCGTGAAGGAGCATAGACCACTCACCAACATTCTCCATCTAACCCTGTCCCAACCAATCCTTTCCAACTCTTTCCAGTTCTTATTCATCCTTTTCATATCTGCTTCCAATTCCCAACACAATGTGTTCTTTGGCCTTACACTTTTCCATTTCACTTCACAATTCCAAGTTAGAGATTTCCTAGTGATGCAGTTTGACAATGTGCCTAATGTATTTCCTATCCACTTACAACGTCTTCTCTTAATTTCCTCTTCAGATGGCAGCTGGTTTGTTCTCTCCTAAAGTAGGCTGTTATTGATGGTATCTAACCAACTGACATGAGTATCTTGTGTAGACAACTATTTATAAATACTTGTACCTTCTTGATGATGGTTGTAGTAGTTCTCTATGTTTCATCTCCATACAGTAGAACTGACTGTGTTGAAGTTGGTATTGAAGATTGTGACTTTGATATTGGTTGAGATTTGTTTTGAGTTGCATATGTTCTTCAATTTTAGGAATGCGGCCCTTGCCTTCCCGATGATACTTCCCAGGTACGTAAAACTTTCCACATCTACCAAACTTTCGCCGTCAAGTGTGATTGATTTGGTGTTCTCCGTGTTGTATTTGAGGACTTTGGTTTTTCCCTTGTGTATGTTGAAGCCTATAAATGCATAGGCTGATGCTACGGTAGTTATATACGATTTTAATTAGTTGTATATAAAACTACCAAACTAAGTAATATTGATAATTTTCTAGTTGACTTTATAGAATGCTCTTATTTAAACAAACATTAGAAACCAGGAGTCAATGAATAGTTATTGTACTCTAGTATAGGACTCTTCACCACTACACATCCACAACCCACCACCATCACAGATTAAACACAAAATTTTTGCTCTCTCTCGCGAATGCTGAATCTCTAAATCATTGACAAGGAATTCAATGGTACACATTATCTAAATGTAACTAATTCATGAAATTGCACGACTATCTCTCTTTGTTTGCTATAGATAATTGTCGCTAACCGGATATATTTGAACCGCCATGGTCACTGTTTCTCACTAAAACTCTCCACTTAATACTTGGAATTAGTCACTAATAAGAACATGATGATTATCAGTGGTGAAGTTTGTGGAGATTATAAAAATGACCGATATCATAAACCTATATAAATCATGGATCCACAAAATTGAATGTTCCATAGTAGGACGAATCAGATATTCAGGGCTTCCCGGTTTACAACAGTCATCTTGCTCAGACGGGTTCGTGATATCAATAACATTTAATAACATCCATAAATCTCCATATTGATAGAAACTGAAGGTACTAGAATTTCAATTCCCAGTAAAACAACTTTGAACTGGAAGGTTTTGTATAAGTTGAATTTGTAAGTTAAAAATTATATCAATATTTAGTCAGATGGATGATGATGATGATGATGATGATGATGATGATGATGATGATGATGATGATGATGATGATGATGATGATGATGATGATGATGATGATGATGATGATGATGATGATGATGATGATGATGATGATGATGATGATGATGATGATGATGATGATGATGATGATGATGATGATGATGATGATGATGATGATGATGATGATGATGATGATGATGATGATGATGATGATGATGATGATGATGATGATGATGATGATGATGATGATGATGATGATGATGATGATGATGATGATGATGATGATGATGATGATGATGATGATGATGATGATGATGATGATGATGATGATGATGATGATGATGATGATGATGATGATGATGATGATGATGATGATGATGATGATGATGATGATGATGATGATGATGATGATGATGATGATGATGATGATGATGATGATGATGATGATGATGATGATGATGATGATGATGATGATGATGATGATGATGATGATGATGATGATGATGATGATGATGATGATGATGATGATGATGATGATGATGATGATGATGATGATGATGATGATGATGATGATGATGATGATGATGATGATGATGATGATGATGATGATGATGATGATGATGATGATGATGATGATGATGATGATGATGATGATGATGATGATGATGATGATGATGATGATGATGATGATGATTAATCAATAATGTCAATCATTGTTGACATGTAATATTTATCCGTTTATATTGACAGTCCCTATAACAAATATTAAATACATTTCAACTGTCATTTATTATTATTTACATAATTTTATTGAATCATTGAATCATAATACAAAGAAAATACACTTTTTTTCTCTCTCTCTCTCTTTATATTCATAGAATAAAATTTGCAAATCTAATGAGAATTACAATATTAAAACATACTCCATTTTTCTTTTCGTTTCTTTTCTCTTTTCTTTCCAAAGAAAAGAGAAAAACAGAAGTTCGCTCAAAAATTGAACTTTTTTTTTCTTCAAAGCAACGTGTTTTAATAAAATTCAAATTTTTATTTATTTAAAAATCAATATTATTTATTCAGTCAAATTATTTATGTGAAAATGTAGTTGTTGCCATGCAGGTTTGTACATTTTATGATAGAAAGTTTTTTTTTATTTTTTTTTATTTTTTCACTTTTTTTAAAATATTTTTTTTCAAGTTTACTCATTCATAGTGAACCATTTTGTCAAATATCAATACGAAAAAAAATGTGAAAATATTGAGTAACTTGATATAATGTTTATCTTATCTCAACAAAATGTATAGTGAGATTATAATTTTGTGGACGATCTTTAAGCAACACAAAAAGTGACTTTGAAAGTGTTCACCTAATAACTATGGCTAAATGAAGAATATAAACCAGTGTAAAGAATTAGAATTGTGATTTACAGTTGATGATCCAGGTCAGTAATTAGATTTAAGGTTTCGATCACGAACTGATGGATCAGCAAAGCAAGAGCAGTATATTTACAATTGAAGAACATCTGGAACTCAAAACAACTATCTGTCAACCAACACCAAAGTTAGAATTTTGAACACAAATATCAAGACAGTTCTACTGTATGGGGCGGAAACCTGGAGAACTACGAAAACAATCATCCAGAAGATACAGGTGTTTATTAACAGTTGTCTACACAAAATACTTCGGATTCATTGGCCGGACACTATTAGCAACAACCAACTGTGGGAGAGAACAAACCAGATCCCAGCGGAGGAAGAAATTAGGAGGAAGCGCTGGAAGTGGATAGGACACACATTGAGGAAAGCACCGAACTGTGCCACAAGGTAACACTCACATGGAATCCTCAAGGATAAAGGAGGAGAGGAAGACTAAAGGATACATTACGCCGAGAAACGGAGACAAGCATGAGAAGAATGAACAACAATTGGATAGAACTAGAAAGTAAGATCGAGGACAGAGTGGGTTGGAGAATGCTGGTGGGTAACTTCGGGACGTTATGCGTACAGGAAGAGAAAATTAGAAAGAAAAGTATTAAGTAGGTTTAATCTCACAGTTTAAATGAAGATAGAGAGTGTATATACCTATGCCATTGTGATCGATTTTGTGCCGTGTCACACAGTGTCCAACCATTGGTTACGATAGTCACGCGGACCCTAACCAAGTAGCCTGCATCTACCAACATGGCTAAGACTAGAAGTTAGTGACTTCGAGAACTGATGCCACGTTTTGGTTTGGCCAGCCATACGCGATTGTTCTAACGATAAAATATATCATATAGTTGAATTCTTTACAATTGAATAGTAATCAATATTATGTTTGTCTGGTCTAATCGGATATGACCGAACATGTTGCAATCATATCACTAGTCAGAGTGACTTGGACTTGTGTGTACTATTTCCATAAGTTAGGTGATTTCAGTTAATCGACAAGAAACCTTGAACCTAGATCTTTGTGCTAGCCAGAATTCATCAGGAAAGGGTATATGTAATTTTGCAGGAAGTGATATTTTCACAAGGATTAAAATATTCAGTGCACAGCTTCACAGTTTCAGATGTTATTATAGAGCTATTCAGTTGACCATTGACCTTCTATAGCTTAGTAATATCGTCCACCAACTATAAAAAACCATGTAACAATTAAATTCGTTCACAAATTTACCACTACTTCTAACAAATAAGTGAAGTGATGTCATGAAAGCCACACCTTACAAACTTAGGATGCATTACACTTAAATATTGCTCACTTGTGGTAATACACTTTTCTCTTTATCGTTTACATTGTTCGAAGATCCTAGGAAGTGTCCGAAAGCCAGACTCTTCAGCTGTCTTGTTATCCTTTCATGTCTCATAATATCTAGATTATCCTACCCCAGTCTGTCAAAAACATTCCTCACAGAAGGAACAAAATGTAATTGTAAAGAGCCAGATATGCTGACTAGAGACTGCTATTTAGAGTATGGTGATTGAATTACAATAAATTCATTTCATTCCATATGTTAGAACAAAAAAACATCATTTAAAAGTACCTAGACTTAATTGTATTTCATAACGATCTCTTCACAACTACATACATGTTAATAAGTTCGGCTAATCTGAAGGCTTTTTATGAGTATAAACTTAGAAATTATAAATGAACTGTTCATCAGAGTATGATAAATTATCTAGAATTGTAATTTTGTTGTTGTTCCCAGTGTATTTTTTTAAAATCCAATGATAATTCAACCGTTGAGATCATGAGTCATTTGAAGCTAGATCAACATTGAAAACCTGAAAACACTGGACGGCAGTTTCGTCCTACTATGGGACTCCTCAGCAATGCGCATACATGACTCCGCCTCGTGAGATTCCAACCCAGAACCTATCGGTCTCGTGCGCGAACACTTAACCTCTAGACCACTGAACCGGCCAGCATCCAACGCTGTTAATGTCTAACTTCAAGTAACCCACATCTACCATTGTCTTCAGTGAGTTACTATCTCACAACAGACCATGTTGAACTCGATTGGTCACTGTTTTTCACTAGAACTCTAGGAAATACCTCTTGAAGCCAGTCACTAGTGAGCATATACTGATTCATATCAGAAGGGTTTTGTGGATATTATAGTAATTTCAATAGTTGAGATCATGAATGCGCACTTTTGAGGAGTCCCACAATGGGACGAAACGTCCATCCAGTGCTTTCAGGTTTTCCATGGTGATCTAGCTTCAATCGACTCATGATCTCAACTGTTGAAATTGATATGATAACCACAAATTCCCCTTCTGATACCAATGATATTTATTTAAAACATCTGCTTGACCAAACTTATTAACTTGTATACAGCTTTATTACTCAGTTATATACTCAAAAAAGTGTTTAAGGCATTTCTCCACTGATATACCCTAAAGTTATACAACTCTTTTTCATTTATAATTTAATAAACATTAAATAGTAACCAATAGTGGTCGGATTCTATAAATTAGATTGTAATGCGACCATTAATCTAAATGACTCGATATCCTGTATAGTATGTCATAGGTAGTAGAGAGGAAACTGTGCAAATCAGTTAACACCAGTTAACAACAAAACATACATATTAACGTTAAGGTTTTCTGATAACGCCCTCCAATCATCTTACATTTCTGTTATATAGTTTTACACAATCGCTAAATTAAAAAAAAATAATGATAGAAAACACAATTTGTAAGTATTCATTTTGTCTTCTGTTGTGTTAGACTGACAGTTTACCTTGAAAATTAATGGATACTTTGATTTATCAGTACTATGAAAGTGAAAAATTCATTGCCACCGTCAACATCTACTCACTTATTCAATTCTTAAAAGTATCTTTACTTCACTTGTTCATATATTTTCATAGAAAACATAATGATATTTTAAGTTTCTAATCAATTCTCATTCATTTATAGTCATAAATACGTAAATACAAATTAAGTTTATTTTAACTTATGATCAACATTTTATAGACATGATTATTGTAGTAGCCTGTTTAAACCTGTTTCTAATCGTGATTGATAAGTTATTATAATCAGAGTTTAATAGATTTCTTTGATTATATCAGTAAATGGTTTTAATAGTTGAATTCATGAGTCGATGTTACCTAAGCTTCAAGATAGATTTTCTGGAGTTCTAGTGAGAAACAATGACCAGTAGATTTCAATCCGTATCGAGTGTGAAATAGTTATCCACCTCAGACAATCGATGAATGGTTGAACAAGATCATAAATCGATTGAAGTTAAAAATTAAAACTTCTGGATGGCGACTCAATGGTCTAGAGGTAAGGCGATTGTGAGCAAGATCGAAGTTCCTGGGTTCGAGTCCCGCATGCAAGGTCGTGGGTGAGCACTGCTGAGGAGTTACGTACTAGGAATGAACTGTGTTCGATTGCTTTGAAGTTTCCAACTATGGTCTAGCTTACATGAACTCATTAATTCAACTATTAAAACTACTACAATCTCCACAAACTCATATCCTGATTATTTCAATATATATCAAGTGACTTGTCTAAGTTATTTATTCATTTCATTTTTATCATACAATTATTTGTTACATTATTGTATTGAGTATTTAAGTATGTGCTATGAACCTACTCCGCGAAAAGGCGGTGTATGATCAGCATCAAGCAATTTCCCCTTCGATTTAATCTATAACATCTTTCGATATTCAAATATTGGGAAAGTTATTCCTATGAAATTGTCAAGCCTAATGATGCAATGAGCAAGCCGGACAAAGCTCACTCAGTCGTAAGATTTAGCAAAATTACACAGTGAACTTAATGTTGTAAAAGTAAGCAAATAATAATAATCATAAACAATGTACTTAGTCAGTTAGTCAAAGATTTTATCATATGCAAAAACTATCTAAATCATTTTGAAGAGAAAGAACAGACACACTGGCAACCAGGTTGGAAAATCAAATAACTTCTCAAGAGAAAAAATCCATGGAGCCCGAGAAAAATATCTAGTTTACTACGGAACATGAAAATGAAAACCAGTTCCATTTTCTCGACATCGCGATGAAACGAAGGAAGGATGTTACGGTCCAATATTCAATTTATGAGAAAGACACATGAGGTGGGATTTATCTCAATTTCAATCAAACTTCAATCTTCTGAAATTCACCAAAGAGTAAGCGATCAAACCTCAAAAACTAGATCTATGTGCCCAAAAAGATCTTTTTTTACCTTAGTAACATTGCATCCT